GGGGTATTGAAATATAAGTTTACAAATATTAAAGTATGATAAGGAGTATAAAATGTGTCTCAAATGTATCTTGTATCTATCTATGTATGTGTCTATCTATCTGTGTATAGATACTAGTATCTATCTATCTACTAGCTGGGAAAATCACTTAATCTTTCTCTGCCTCAATTTCCTCATTTGTAAAATGTGGATAATAATAGCACCTACTTTCCAAGGTAGTTGTGAGGATCAAATGAGATAATGTTTGCAAAATGCTTTACAAACTTTAAAGTGCTATATAAATCCTAGTGATGATGATGATGATGATGATGAAGATGAGGATGAAGATGGTTATGATGTGGGTAGGAAATGTAATGAGCTTGTAGAGGTGGGCATAAACACTGACTTCGCAACTCTAAGTCATTTGACAATCATTTCCTGATGCCTACTATGTGCAGTACACTGTGCCAAGCAGAGCAAGGCATGGCCCATGCCCCAGAAAGCTACAAGTCTCATTAGGCAAAAATCACAAAGTCACAGACTCTTGGATCATTTGAAGGAATGAGAAACCTACCGCATCCTGAGGAAATCTGTTCTGTATTTTGACAACCCTGACCATTAAGAAATGCTTCCTGAAATTGAGTTGAAATCTGTTTCTTTGTAACTTGCACCCGGTTCTGCAAGTCATACAGAAATGTGTAAGACACTCTTACCATGTCATTGCCCAGTCCTTGAAGACAGCGATCAGAACTATACACTCATCAGCCCCTATACAATATAATAATAGATTATATTTATATGGTGCTTTTAGCCTTGCAAAGCTTTTTCTATGCATTATCCTACTTGGTCACACAAAAACAATGCCAGGCATTGTGTATTAAGTGCCATCTTCAACTCCTCACTCACACTCATCCCCATGTAACCAACCTCTTGCAAATCTTGTCATTTTTAACTTCACAGCTTCTCTCACAAATGTCCCCTTATTGACTTATGAAAAATGCTACCCACCTCCAGAGAAAGAACTGATGGAGTCTCAATGCAGATCAAAGCTTACTTTTTCTTTATTTTTCTTGCTTTGTTTTTCCGTTGTCTGTGTTCTCTTTCGCAACATGGCTGATATGGAAATATATTTTGAATGACTGCACATGTATAATCTATATCAAAGTGTTTGCCATCTCAAGGAGGGGAGGGGAAGGAGGGAATTTGGAGCTCAAAAATTATTTTTAAAACATTAAGAAAGTATTTTTGCATGTAACTGAAGAAAAATAAAATAAAAAAATTATTTGAAAAAATCTACAAATAAATAATGTGTGTATGAATATGTATAGATATAGATATATGCACACATATATACACATACACACATATACCCTTCTATGTAGGGATATGTGTATATGTGTGTGGAGAGAGAAAGAAAATGAATGAGAGAGAAAGGGCGAGAGAAAGAGAGAGAGAGATCCCCTTCTCTCTACTTACCCAGCCTAGTTTTCTCCTGGTTGTTTTCCCTGCTTCAAGTTTGTCCCCACTCTCATTCATCCTACACTCAGATAACAAGGATTTTTCTAAACCAAAGGTCTAACCATGTTCCCTGCTCTATTCAAAATAAATTTCCCCATTTGGGATTTAAAGTTGTTTTACAATACGGCCTCTTCCTACCATTCCAGCCTTCTTATACTTTGCTCCCTTCCAAGCACTCTCCAGACCAGCTAGTTCCTCAGATACAACACTCCATCTTTGCATTGGCTGTCTCTCATGCCTGGAATGCTCTCCCTCCTTACCTCTGTCTCAGATTCCCTGGCTTCCTTTGAGACTCAGATCAAATCCCACCTTCTATAACAGACCTTTTCCAATCCCCCAAGCTGTTAGCGTCTTTCTTCTGAGATTACCTTCCATTTACACTGTATAGAACTTATTATTTACATGTTGTCTCTCTCATTAAAATGTGAGCTCTGTGAAGGTAGCAGCTGTTTTTAGCTTTTTCTGAATCCTCAGTCCTTACTTACTTAGCCCAGTGCTTGGCATACTGGAAATGTTTAAGAAATGTTTATTAATTGACTGACTGACTGACTGACCAAAGGAATGCAGCAGATCTTTAATGCTGGAATAATAAAGAGCAGAGAGAGATCTGGATGGGCTGGGGTGAAGATGCCATCAACCCCCCTGAGCCTACCTTCCTTATTTGTTAAGGGTGAACTCGGATAATAATAACTATAATAAATAGATATAATATGTGTTACATAAATATATAATAAGATAAATAAATAATTCTTCTACCTTAGAAAAGTATAATGCACTATGTACATTTAAAGCCTTGTTATCTTGCCCCCACAGCCCCCAGAGAAGCTGGAAATGAAGTACTTTCTCACCATTGCTGTGGTTCCCTATGTGATCCTCATTTCCCAGCACATCCCTCAGGTACCACTCTTCCCTTCTCCTGCACCACACCACACACACACATACACACACACACAGTGCCTTCCAGCACTGAGAAGGTCCTGGAGCCCACATACCAGCTCCTAACTTTTGGTGTGGTGGTGACAGCTTTCCCCAAAGTCAGTTTCAGGTGGTTTTTCAACATTTTGAGGAGATGTCTTTTCCATTGTCCTTGCCCTTCCTACCCAACTTCTGCTGGACTGGGAGCAGAGACCCCTTTGGGTCCACCTTGGAGACCTCTCCACTCACCTCTCTTCCTCACCAAATTCTACTTCTTCCTAGAAGGCTTCCCAAAGTGCACCAGGTAACTATGGCCTCTAGCCCAGAAGTCAGAGCTAAACCTTTACCTGTTCTCCAACTCAGTACAATTCAAGAAACAAATTCAGCACTAAGGCACCTGTTAAAGTGAATAGCTATGGTATTATTCTCCTTCTCAAAACAAAACAAGACAGAAACAGAAAACTATGCCAATAAGATAAAATATAAACTCTTCAGCTGGCCTCCACTATCAGACACCAACCTAACTATTAATAAGCTTTTTTTTTCCCATTCTACTACCCTTCTCAGTCTCCTAGGAGATGATAACATGGATTGAAAGCTGGTTTCAGAGCTAGAAAGACCTGAGTTCAAGTTCCATATTGGGCACACAGTGACTGGGTGACTCTAGGCATGTCTCTTAACCTCTAGTGCCCTGGACCATTCTCTTAGACTAAGTTTCAGAGAAGATACTGACCTGCATTGGCAGACAGAGTTTCCTCATCTGGGAGTACCCTAAATCAGTGAACCCAGAGGTCTAATCCCTATCTCCCCTTCATACACTCTGTGCTCCATCCAGACCAGATTATTCACAATGTCCTGATTGCAGCTTGCCCTGTCTATATATTCCATCAGACTGTCTCTCCTCAATGCCACCTTCTCCCAAAAATCTTCCCTGACCCCTCCCAGCTAAAAGTGATCTTTCCTTCCTCCTATATTTTTAGAGCCTAACAATAATAAAAATGATGATGATGATAGCATTTCTAGAAATATATTTTCTAACCTATGAATATTTAATACATCTTTAAGATTTATAAAACACTTTACTAATATTATCTCATTTGATCCTCATAATAACTCTGGGAAGCAGGTGCTATTTTTACCCCCTTTTTGCACTTAATGAAATTGAAGCCGACAGAGGTTGAGTGACTTGCCCTGGGTCACATAGCTAGTAAGTGTTTGAGGCTAAATTGGAACTCACGTCTTCTTGGCTCTAAGTTTAGAGCTCCATCTGCTGCTCTGTCTGGCTGAGCACCAGAAGGAGGCAGTATTTGTTGAGTGCTTTTTAAATCTTAAAGTGTTACCTAAATGCTAGCTATTATTACAAAGACAGAAGCCTGCCCTCAAGGAGCTTATGTTCTGCAAGGTATCTGAGTATACTTGTATAAAATGACATATAAATAGGTGTGTTTCTGCCTGCTCAAACAACCTGTCATTGCCCAGTCTATGGGAAATCATGCTTATTTGTGTATATATCTTATCTCCTATCTTCATTAGGTTGTCTGCTCTTTGGGGATGAGGCCTAAATTATTCACCTTAGTATCTCCAGTGATCAGGGCCCTATACATATTAGGATCCTGACAGGCTTTAAAAAAAACCATCCTAGAAATCTTCCCCTCCAATTGCCTTGTGTGCTGGGAGTTGGGCAGCTGCAAGGAATGGTTTTTGCTACAGCAGATTGTACTTTATCTAAGGAGACAAAGCCAAGAGAGCTTTATACTGTCGTGTCTGACTCTTAGTGATCCCATTTGAGGTTTTCTTGGGGAAGATGTTGGAGTGGTTCGCCATTTCCTTCTCCAGCTCATTTTATAGATGAGGAAACTGAGGCAAACAGGGTTAAGGGACTTGGGTCACTAAGGTTCACACAGCTAGTAAGTGTCTGAGGCCAAATTTGAACATGTATATTCCTAACTCCAAGCCCATTGTCTATCCACTGAGCCATCTAACTGCCCTCATTTTACAACTGAGGAAACTGAACCCAAGGAAGATAAAGCATCACAGAGGTAATAACCATCAGAGGAAGGATTGGAACTCACGTCTTCTGACTTCAGAGACAGTGTTCTTTCTAGTCTATTATACTGCTTGCCATTGTCAGTCAACAAGCATTTATTTATTGCCTACTCTGTGCGGAGCACATTAAGGGCCAGGGAGACAAAGAAAAGTGAAGGATAGTCCCTGCTTTCAAAGAGGTCACACAGTTGGGGGGGCGGGGAGACAATATAATGTTTTCTAAACCAATAAAGCCTTATTGACTGCCTGTAAAGCCCAGAGCCCCTGTCTCCTCCATATCCTCTCTCTCTTCTTTCCCTCCATAGACAAGAGGCAAGACATTGACCCTTGACATGGCTCCAGACACTTTCGACGATGCCTACACGGACTGTGTGGAGGACATGAAGCAGGCTGCCCCCATCCTGTTAAAGGAAGAGATGGCTAAGCACAAGCTGCTCAGAGAATCATGGGAGGTTGCCACGGCTTCTTTGAAAAACTATCAGAACCTCCCCCTGCCCCCAGGCTTCCAGACTGAGCATGCGCTGGCTGTCATGGTCTATACTAACTCATCCAACCCACTACATCAGGAGCTGAACTTGGCTGTGAGGGAACTGGGAAGGTCTATTGAGGTCTACATGGAGCATTTTCCCTTCAAGGCCTTGCACTTCTACCTGATGCGGGCCCTGCAGCTGCTGAGGGCTCCTGAGAGCTGTAAGGAGGACTCTGGGCTCGAGGTATTCCGAGGCACGAGAAGCACCCACTTCAAGCCCAGGAAGCTTGGAGATATCATCCGCCTCGGCCAGTTTACCTCCACTTCAGAGGAGCGGAAGGTGGCCCAGACGTACGGCAATGCCACCTTCTTTACCCTGACCACGTGTTTTGGGATCCCCATCAAGGACCTCTCAGTCTTCCCCAGTGAGCTAGAGGTGCTCATCCCACCCAATGAGCTCTTCCAGGTGTCTAACTTCTCCCAGGATGGAACCAGGAACCTGGTAACTCTAAGAAGCCTGAAACAGACATGCAGCAACTTCAACTGTGCCTACCTGAGGAGTGAGTATTGACCACACCAAGCTGGGAGGCGGTCCACTGGAGAGCAAGAATGGGAGGGTCACGGTATAGAAAGAAGAGAAGGGAAGAGGAAGTTTCTCTAGGCATCATGGTAGACCTCAAGAATCCTGGCCTCAGATGTGAAAAAACTTGGATTCTAGACCCAGCCCTGAAACTAATTTGAAGTTTGAACATACACAAGTTCATTTCCCTCTCTGGGCCTCAGTTTCTTTTGCAAAACAAGAGGGTTGCACTCACTGGTCTTTAAGGTCCCTTCCAGTTCTGAAATTCTATTATGGGGGCAGCTAGGTGGCGCAGTGGATAGAGTACCAGCCTCGGATTCAGGAGGACCTGAGTTCAAATCTGGCCTCAGACACATAACACTTACTAGCTATGTGACCCTAGGCAAGTCACTTAACCCCATTGCCTAACCAAAAAAAAAAAAAAAAAAACCAATTCTATTATTAATTGTACTTGGTTGCTGACCTTCAGTGACCATGCCTATGAGGTATAAAAAACTGGGCTGTAGGAGACCTAGGGGTTGGAATTCCTAACTTTTCCATCAAGTCCTTATGTGACCTTTAGCAATTCCCCCTTCAGTAATTCCCCTCTCAGAGCTCAGTTTCACCATCTTGGAATTGGGGCTGGTATCCCCTCCACAGATGACTAATTGTCATCGTCAAATCAGATCATGCATATGAAAACTCCTTGTGAGCTAGAAATGAAGGTACACAAGTGAGGATTGTCATGTTGCCATATGCAGCTATTATATAAACTGAGGCCTGCCTCCTCTGCCTGGCCAAACTCTCTCTCCCCATGACCTGTGACTAGGATGGGGGCAGATAGCAGAGAAAAGAGTCACGTCCCCATTTTCCAAAGGGAAAACCTGAGGCAAGGAGAGGGGAATCGATACTTTCTCCCTACCCCAGTCCCACTATGTGCCATTATACGCTAAGCTATCCTTCAGAGGATGTGGATAGATAAGGCTGAGTCCCTCCTTTTAAAGCACACCCTCTCAGAGAGGGTGACTATTACAATATAGGACACATGGGGGAAAAGGCACGAGGCTGTGAAGACTCAGAGCAGGGAGGGTGCACTTATAGCTGTGGGTTCTAGGAAGCTTTCCCGAGGAAAGTGCATTTCATCCCAGCCTTTCTGTTCTCCAGAAGTGGCAATGATATGCTACAGTAGCAGAGATTTGGCTAAGAAGTGGGGTGGGGTATGGACCCAGAGTGGAGCTGACATTCTTTCTCTTTGCATTTCAGGAAAGAAGAGTCAAAATTGTGTGGTTAAATCAGGTAAGATACCTGATGCTTCCATCCATATTTCCCAGCCATCTTCCCATTCCTACATGTTCCCTCCCTTTCTCAACTCAACCCCTGTTCCCCTCTTTGCATCCCTCTCTTCCTGGCCTATAGTGGATATTTAATAAATGCTTGTCAACTTGACTTCCCCTCTCCCAGTTTCCGCATTTGCCTCTCCTCATTTCCTTCTACTCTCTCTTCCTCTCTCTTCCCCTTTTTCCTTTACTGTTCTCCTCTAATTTTCTCTCTCCCCTTTCCTATCCACCCCCTCCTCTCCTTCTCCCTCTTCACTGTTTTCTTTCCTCATCTCCTCTCCCTGTTTTTTTTCCCACCTTTCTATAATACCTTGTCTCCCTCTCCTGTTCTCTTTTCCCTTTCTCACCTTCCTATTGTACCATTCCTCATCCCTTCTCTTTCCCCTTCTTCTGTTTCCCTTTACTCCCCCTGATCCTCCCATTCCTTTTATTTACTCCCCATTTCTTCTCCCCATAGGAAACATTAACAGCACGGTCCTTGGGAAGGTGACCCCATGGCTTTTTGTGGGAACTCAGCTTCTACTTCTCAGAATTTTCTTCTTGAAGTCTTCCTAGAGAGACTTCGGTTTTTTTCTGCCCTAACGCCATCGGCATCGCTGATCTCCAACCATACCAGATACCCCCACTAAAGTCCTCTACAATTTTGACAAAGCACTACAAGAGGATAGCTCCCTGTTGCCTCCTGGTGGTGAATATTCCCATTGCAACCAGTCACCACCTGGAAATTGCTACACCCACACCCACACCCTGGGGTGGTTTGCCAGTTGGGGCTGACTTTTCTGGAGACCCTAGGCTCTGCTTGGCCTCGTGCTTCCATTATGTGACCTATAATTATCTTTTTTTTTTTGATGAGGCAATTGGGGTTAAGTGACTTGCCCAGGGTCACACAGCTAGTAAGTGTCAAGTGTATAATTATCTATTAAAAGGAAACATGGGATAGAAAAGACTCAGGGTTAAGCTTTGGGCCATGGCCTTTCTTGCCTCTGGGCTCCCTTGACTAGCTAGAACACCCTCCCTTATCTCATCAACTTTCCAGATGCCCTCTATTCTTCTAAGGCTAACTCAAGTTCTGCTCCCAAAAGTCTCCTCTTCCAGGGAGCTCCGACAACCCCCTTTGCCTACTCCACTCATTGGCAATTAGTCATAGACAACCTTACGGTATTTCTTGTAATGGGGCATTTTTTTTTCTTTTCTTTTCTTTTCAATCCAGATGTATGATTTCGTTAGTGTAAGGAATTATGAGTAAGAAAACTGCCTCTATCATTTCACTGTGGACCTTAGTGTCTTAGAGAGTTACCTGAGAAACTGAGAGATTACATGACTTGTCCTGGGTCACACAGACAGTATGTTTCTACTTCCAGGTCTTCCTGGCTAAGTCTCTATCCACTATGCTACACTGCCCCTCATTGTGGTCTTACATTATTTAATTAAACTTTTTATTTTTGTATTGTCTGTCTGATATGTCTAGAGGCTCTTGAAAACTTCCATTTTTCTTCCCCCCATTGCACAGGAAGCACATGATTTAGTCCCCAAGAGGACTTTGAAAATGTTTGTTGAATTACTAGATGGCAATAATGCAGGGGAAGCAAAGGCCAAGAACTGAGGTGGAAGAAGGGAAAAGGAGAGATGGGAGACCTTCTGCCAGTCTCATGTGGCCTACTCCATTCCTGGGGTGGAGGCAGCTGGATAAGGATACCTGGTGACAGGGTTTTGGGGATGACCTCAGGTAGGATCCTCCTTATACTATTTCCCCACTGTGCTATTTCCTTAAGGAAAAGGAAAATTCCCCACCTGGTTAATCCTAAACCTTGCCTTTAACACTGTGACTACATGATTGGCTATCAGATATGACCCATGACTGGAATAAAACAGAGCTAAAGGAGTTTTTCCTTCTGTTGTTATGTCTTTCTTCTTCCTTTTATAGCAAATTTCTATAATCAATAAGCTTCATAAGTATAACACTAAATCTATTAAATAATAGATTGATACTGGAACATCTCTGAGTTACTATAATAGGAAACCTCGGCAGCATTCTCCTTTCCGCCCTCCCTGGTCTAATGTTTCTCTTATGTAAAATCAAAATCACGTTTTAGATGAATGTTCCCCCTTGGTCTGCAGGGTCATTCCGACCTTTAACCAAAAAGAGGGAATGTAAAGGGATTTGTCATTCTCATATTAATTGATATGGTATGTATAATGAATATAGTAACAATTTAGATTTCTCAGAGCTCCCATTTTTTCCCAGCAGATTCTGACTTAAGAGTCAGAGACTCACAATGCAGCTTAAAGTGATTAATCAACTCTAACAATTCCTAGATTCACGTACCTTCAGTGAAGTGAATCTAAGACTGTTCCTATCACAGAACTCTGGTTCTGAACCCCACAAAGGAATCACAACCCCCAAGATTTGAGACAACCAAGTTAAGAACTGTTTCCATAGGACTCGAGAATACCTGTATTGTCCTACATTCAATAGTTTACTGTGGAAAACCACTGAAGACCTAGAAATAATTGTGTTGTGATCCACCTTCACACACATACACGCGCGCGCGCGCGCGCACACACACACACACACACACATACACACCTGTGATTTATGTCTATAAACTCTGCCTTTACTCCAGGATGTTAAGCTCTCCTTCTCAGAAGAACTTCAGGTGTGCAAACCGCATTTCTCACTCTGAAATTAATTAATTAAACTGCTACTTGATTGCTGGCATGCCTGCTTCTGACCTGCTCTGTTTCACCTCTGGCCACTCCCAGGTTAGAGACTGATACAGTAAAATTCTAACAGTGTCTATGTCCTTTCTTTTATACACATCCCATTTTTCATGATCAGTAGCTTGTTAGAATATGGCAGGATTGGACTGTTTTCATTGCATACCCTATCTTTTTCTTATTTTATCTCTTCTGGCTTGGTGCTAATTTTGCTCTTTGCTCTAACAAGTCAACAGACAGCTGATTCAACAGTGACAAGAAGGTACTCGAGAAGGGAAAAAACATTTTAAAGCATCTACTATGTGCCAGGCAATGTGGAAGCACTTTACAAATATAATCTCAAGGGGCAGCTAGGTGGTGCAGTGGATAGAGCACCCACTCTGGAGTCAGGCGGACCTGAGTTCAAATCTGACCTCAGACACCTAACACTCACTAGCTGTGTGACTCTAGGCAAGTCACTTAACCCCAATCACCTCACCAAAAAAAAAAATCTCATTTCATAAATAAAAATATAAGAAAATAAGAAAAGTAAACAAAACATAGATGGTAAATTATTGTATATGTACTTCCATTACTTGCCAATCACCAGGGAAGGGGAAGGAATAAGCATTTATATAGTGCCTACTATGTGCCAGGCACCATTTTGCTGCTGTCCAGTCATTTTCAGTCCAGTCCAACTCTTCCTGACCATTTGCCATTTCCTTCTCCAGCTCATTTTACAGATGAGAAAACTGAAGCAAACAGGGTTAAGTGACTTTCCCAGAGTCACACAGCCAGTAAGTGTTTGAGGCCGGATTTGAACTCAGGTTTTCCTAACTCCAGGTCCAGATCTCTATCTACTGTGCCACTTGCTCATTTTACAGATGTGGAAACTGAGGCACATAGGATTAAGTGACTTATGCAGGGTCACACAGCTAGTAAGCGAGCCCAGATTTGAACTTAGGTCTACCTGACTCCAGGCCCTGCACTCTATCCACCATGCCACCGAGCTGCTCTGACAGGTACCACACTAAGCGCTTTATAGATATTTTCTCACTCCACGCTGTATCTGCTGCCTTGCCTGGTTTCAACTCCATGAAACAAGATGCCCTTCTAAGGCTAAGCTCATCACTTCTGATCTCACCACCATGTGGCTAACTCAAGTCTTGACTGACACCACATCCTTCAGCCTCCTCTGATTGGAGGGCTGGTGAGTGGAGGCCCAAACTCCTCCCAATGCCTTCCTTTACAAACCACAGAAACTGGATTTTTTTTTTTTTTTGCATACTCTGCTCTGCATCTGCTGTTCTAACTAGTTTCAACTTCACAGAACAAAATGCTCACAGTCTTGGGTACCTACTGGATCCTCCCTATACTTCCTGACTCTTTCACTGTACTTCTCTCCCCATTAGATTGTAAGTTCCTTGAGGGCACAGACTTTCTTTGTATTAATTGTATCCCCCGCACTTAGCACAGTTCACAGAGTAGGTGCTTAATAAATGTTTATTGGATTCTTTTGATTTGATCCTCACAACAACCCTGTGAGGTGAGTGCTATTATTATCACCATTTTACAGATGAAGTTACTGAGGCAAACAGGTTAAATGACTTGTCCAAGGTCATGCAGCTACTAAGTCTCTAAGGGCAAGTTTGAACTCAGGTCTTCCTGGCTCCAGTTCCAAGGTTCCATCCACTGCTCAACCTAGCTACCTCAACCCAGTAGATATATATATATATATATATATTGACTTTAACACAGTAATATCTACATTAGTTTTCTTATTTGCTTGATTCTTTCTGACCTTCCTCTCTGTATATATAATATGATTTTGTTCCTGGGAGTCAACAAAAATTTATTAAGTACTTGTATATACAAGGTCTAATTAAGCTATAGATATCTCTGTGGAGGTAAGAAGAAATATAGATTTTTTATTTTTTTGCTATGCCCACTGTGTGACTTCATTTGGCTCATCTATGCATATCTGTTTCAATGGCTTCCTCTTCTTTCTTTGTGTTTTTAATTGGGAGAGGGATTGGGGGAGGGAGGGAGGCCCAAGGGTAGCAATAATGATGCCAAAAAAGGGGATCTTTTAAAAAAAGTATTTACAGAAGAGAAGTTTAGAAAGCAGCATAGATACACAGGACAGCTTTGAAAGTAACATGTAAAATTTATATATGTGTGTGTACATATATACACATACACACACGTATACACATATAAGCAAGCAGTATGAAATGGAGATTCATAGTTTCTTAGAGAATACCTTTTTCGTGTTCTGCTGTGTGTATTGGAATGTTCTTTTTTTTTTTTTTTGGTATATTCTATGGAATTCTATAGAATATTTTTCTCCTTAAAGAAAGCTGTGGGTGACCTAAAGGACAATGTTGTTGTTTGTCCTTTGTTCTAAAAGAGGACCATGATATCAGAAAGGTGATGCCATTGCAAGCCAATTGGATCTAAGTGAGCAAGGGCTATGCAAAGCCTTACCCTCTCCTCTGGAGCCATCTGGGTCCAGTGGCAAGATATAGATCAGGACAACTGGAGATGGCCCTGGATGAGGTAGGAGGCCTTGACCTTTCAAAACTAAGGTCTTTCCTAGGTCTCAGTTTGACTGAGGCATTACCCATTCAGTGATCAAGGCTAGGTAAGAAATGAAGCAAAGAATGGCCTCTTTTACCTAGTCAAAAGAAAAAAAATCCATCTAGGAGGGGAAGATCCTCAGGGTTTCTGGCCAAAACAGAAACAATTGCTATCTCTACTCACTCTGAGCCAGGACTGCCCAAACAATGACCAAGTGAGCCTATTGCTGGCCAATCAATGAGAGCCAGAGTGATGTTGGTTTAAGGCTTGGTCCTTAAGAAAGAAATCCACAAGACATCTTGCCGGGTTTTCAGTGATCACAAATTATATTCCTTTGGGCAGAGCACCCACAGATAAGGGTATGATTCCCTATGTGTACAGGGGAAGAGGAGGGAGGGAGAGAAGGAGGGAGGGAGGGAAGAAAGGATAATAATAAAAAATTTTTTAAAAAAACAAAACATGCACAGGAGATACACAAAGGCTATTAGCAGGGCTGGTAGGACAAGATGGAAATAGAAAAGCATGGTTTAGAGTCCATGAACAAGTCAGGTCAGAGGCTCTTGTTTGATGCGCACTGACCTAGATTCCCTGCAAGTAGTTATTAATCCCAAACTGGAGCATATCGATATACATTTACACTTGCTGAGATTCGACCTCGTGGCTACAGACTTCCAGGTGGAGGCTCCACTCCGCCCACCTCTTTCCCCACCTTGCCTCATCTCCGACAGAACTCCAACTCCCGGCATGCCCCGGACCACCATGGGCGCGCTCCCATTATTACTCTAATAGTGTTGCCTTCTGTGAAATGTAGTTTCCTTGCCAACGCTGGCTACGCAACCTTTAGGGAGGTGGACTACAACTCCCGTGGGCCCTTGCACGCCCCACCCCGTTTGGCGTCATGTTAGAAAGCGCCGCGGCGGCCATGTTGGTCTCTACCCTCGCCGTGGCCAGGGCTGGCGCCAGGAGTGAGGGCTTGGCATAGCTGACATCGCGATGCTGGGGTCCCTGGTGTGGAGGAGAACAGCGCCGGCACCGGGGCTCCTCCTGCGGCTCCTTCGGGCCCGGCAGCCCAGCTCCCGCGGGGACTCCTTGGGCCAGAGCGGGGCCGCCGGGGGCCGCAGGGAGGCGCAGTTTCCGAGGGCGGCCACCGGGGGGCGGTCGTCGGCGCAGCCGCAGTATGTCGGAGCGATCTCCTGGCGAAGCGGGGACAGGCAGCCGCAGGGCCTCAGGGCGGCCACGTGGGGGCGTCTTCCCGGCCTTGAAGAAAGCCCCTGGTCGGGCCGCTGGAGCGGAGTCCCGAACGCGGCCGGACTGGGCGTGTGGGCCTTGGCGTCTGCGCTCGTTGCTCATTGCTACAGCAAGAGCCCCACCAATAAGGGTGATTATCCAGCAGCCTCTGGCCTGTCGGGGGGAGGGGGTGGGGGTCCACCGCCTGGTTTCTGGGGCTGGGGGAGGCGAACTTGTCAGAGAGTGAGCTCCCCGTCCCTGCAGGTATTCAAGCAGACTGTTAGGGAGGCTGTCTAGGAAGTAGAAATAGGGGGACGGGGCTCCACTCCCAGGCTTCTGGTGCTTGGGTTTGGGGAGGCGAGAGACCCGGGTTCTAGCC